CGGAATCACAATAACTATATATATTCAATTTGGCAACACAGTTAGTGCGATGGGTGCCGCGCATCTTATCGCGGATACCATTCCCGCACGGATCAACTCTGTGTGATCCACAGATTGTTGTTCCGGGTCTGTGTGTCATGTGTATGTGAACTTGTATGTTTGTAAACGTACATACGACATAGGAGAAAATCCTAGCGTGGGGCAAAGTTTTTTTAAAAAAAAAAATATTTATATATGTATTCTTCTGTGTACTGTCTGTTTATTGTGCATAAATTAATAAATATATATATGTTTCACACGTTAAACGCCATGGGGGTCACCGGTGACCGGCGTTAGCGGATGATTTACCTTCAACTGTTTTTTATTGGCAGTCGAAGTCTTAAATATTATTTGACAAAATTATCAATTACACCATAGAACGTGTAACCACAAGGTGGACACGACCTGATAAAGGTCGAAGACAGCCGCTGTTTGCAGGTGAAACGTCGCGACATGTAGCCATTGGAGGAAGACAGTGGGAGGCAGTGGACAGTACGGGTCTCATACATTTATGATGAACAAAATAGCTGCTCAATCCTCAAGCGCTCACCGGTGACCACTCTCCACTAATGCCATTACAGACCTTATTTCCGATGCTTAGAGACAACTTTTGTATGGTCAAATTTAAGGTACGATATTTCAACCAGATGGAGTACAATTTTAGACCAAAGCATTTTAAATTGAAACCCTTTTACATCAACATCACAATACAAATGACAACACAAGTCTTATTCTAGTTTATATAACATAACATCGAGCCTTTTATACCACGAAGGGGTAGGCACAAATGCTTTAAAGAACTTATATAAACAATGGATAATAATGTTGTTAATAATTCTATTATTCATATTATAATATCATGGCTTAATCTTTGAAAGGAAGAGGTGCACACGTAGACAATGTGACCAACTATTCCCATTAATGTTATCTCATTCTACTCCCATGGAATAGGGAGTTGCATTAGATAATTAGTATTTGCAATCTTATTTGTAAATTAACTAAAAATCGCGGGTTACTCACGTGAATATACTGAGAAAAGCTCTACTAGTTTCGAACCACAGACGGGTTCTTCCTCATGAGCAGCGTGCGGCGATGTCGCGCAGCCTACTGACTAGCGTTGGCGCTCGCATCGGTGTTGCTACTTGCGCACGATGAACCAATACCAACGCCGCGACCGCGCACGCTGCTCATAAGGAAAACCCCTCTGTGGTTCGACACTAGTAGAGCTTTTCTCAGTATATTCGCGTAAGTAACCAGCGATTTTTAATTAATTTACTATGTATCACGATAGTTAGTACAAAAACATCTTTTATTTGTAAGAAAAATAAGTCTGCTATAATTATTATGCGTTACATATGTCGGCTTATGTTATTCATTCATAAAAAAATATTTGTATCTTATTTCAGTGTAATATAGAACATCTATTTTTATAGTAATCAAGATATCGTGGTCGCAGGCAACCATAGTGTCTATAGAGAGACAAATAATAGGGTTGAATTGGTCGCCGACAACTAGTTGATATTTTCATGGTTGCGCGACCAGGGTTCTTACTCTTGAAACCAATCTCAATGTCAATGCAATTTCAATCAGAATAGTTTCAAGTCATGTTAGAGGCTCATATTCACCTATGCTATGCATGCTAGAGACCAGCAGCGCGACAGACAACGTAGCTAGTAACTTTATTGTAAGTCAATAAATTTCAAATTCGCATGGACTGAAGAGTACAATACATTCGTCAGTCTTCATGTCGTCATAGATCTAATAAGCACGCCTCCAACCCAGCAATTAAGTTGTCATTTAAATATCAACTTTAAATTGTATGTCGTATGATATTGTTACATAGTATAAAACAAAGTCGCTGTAAGCCGTCTGTCTGTCCCTATGTATGCTTAGATCTTTAAAACTACGCAACGGATCTTGATGCGTTTTTTTTAATAGTCATAATATATTATTCAAGGAAGGTTTATATGTATAATACATGCATATTGCACCCGTGCGAAGCCGGGGCGGGTCGCTGGTATCCCATAACGTCAATACAAAAAGCCGACGGCGGGTGGTCAGCTCGTAGTTCATCCGAAGTGAAGTCGAAGCGCCCGCGTGCTTATGGCGCCCCGCCCACGACCCGACAGCGCAGCGACGGCGCGCCGTCGGCGAGTTGACGGCGCGCCGCCACCAAGCGCCAGCGTAACAACGTCGCATAGGTAGGTAGGTATGTGACTACTTGTGGCCGCGAGTTGAAAGCGCGCGGTTATTTATTAAATTAAAACATTCGGTAGAACCCGGGTAGCAACGCTCTCTGAATACTCTTGAATCCAATTCCGATCGACATTGGTATTGTGAAATTTCGTACTCTTGAGTTGCAACACTAGCGTCCATTGCATCCGTATTGCGTGGATATTGAATGAACTAAATGGTATTGCATTTGGCTTTATATTCCGTACTCTGAATGCTATTTGACAGCTACGATTGTGGTTGTATAGTGTTGACATTGAATAATTATTGAGATTTAATTGGATTGAAATTGCATTGACATTGAGATTGGTGTCAAGGAGTAAGCACCCTTAAGCCTTTGACTGTCGACAGAAAACTGTTGAAGGCAAATCCTCCACTAACGTACGTCACCGGTGACCAACGCAGCGGATAACGTGTTAAGCGCGACTTAAAATCGAGTAGCGTTACAATATTTGGACAATAGAACCTCATTAGGGGCTGTCGGTAGAGGGCGCCCAAGACGGACATATAGTGACCAGATTGGCGATATATTAAAGAAGGGCCAAATTAAAAGTACCCTTAACCGACGAGCATGCATGAAAAGATTGATGACTGTTATTGAAGCGAAAGAGGTATGTAAGAATCGTAGTAATTGGCGTTCCTTAGTCTCCGCCTACCCCCATGGGAGACAGACCTCAACACAAAAAATCTATATGATAATCTTCATATCAGCTACACTCCGTCTACTGCCTCACATGGTCTTTGTCTTCCACAGCGGCTAGCTGGTCGCGGCCTGCATTTAGCGATAGCCATTAACTTCTCCAGTAAATCCCAATAATGTATAATAAATTTCTTTGTTTGGATCTTTTTCCATCAACCATGCTGAAACTACTGATTTCGGTGAAATTTAGTATATAGGCAGGGTATGAGCTGACTTAGGTAAAAGGATACTTTATCCTGATCAAATGCTCTATGGGATAAAACAGGAATACGCGGACAAAGCCGCGGTAAGAGCTAGTAAAAAATATTTTATATTTAAATTATTTATTGAGCCAACATTGGTCTTATGACGAAAGAAATAAGATTGAAAATAATTTATGACTGCAAATAATTGCTCATTTTTTTATTTTGTATTCTCCTAATTGTCAAAATTTGAATGCAAAAACACCTTTTAAAATTCCAATAGAATTACTATAATGTCATTTATACGCCAAAAATACTTAGCTACCACTCAATTTGAAATTTTATAGACAAACAGTTGCAAATGTTACATTTTTCATATATTCCATTGAAGTGTTACATTTTAAGGACCGAGTATTGCATTTTTAAAGGTCACTATATTCATATTAAAACTTTCGTTTAACATACTAAATTAATTATTATGTTTTCGGCTCACTCAAGGAACTCTTTGACGCTGTCGCCGATACCACGGATATAGGAAAGTGCGCGTGAATCGCGGCAGAGGGAGCGCTGGGCCGGCACCGTCGCAGACTCGCGTCGCAAGTCGCGGAATGCAGCTCGTGAATATGAGCCTTTGGCATGGCTTGAAACTAGTCGAGTACCTCGTCAAACAATTACTTGTGTAAGCCGAAAACATAATAATTAATTTAAGACGCAATTTGATTTCTGGGACATGTGTACACCTCAAGTTTGAAGGGTCGCCATACTTGCGCCGGCCGCCATGTTGTGACCAGATTATCATAGTCACGCTTCTAAGATCTTTTCGTAGATTTAACAGCTAGGGTTACACTGAATTTGGTAGTTTAAGGACTCACGGCGCGATTCGCTCCCACGCCCGCCGCGGTTGTAGGCCCCCTTTGTAGAATATAGACATCTATAGTCAGAATTTTAATTAGATTCCATATTTGACAATAGCTACTGTCATTTTGTGAAATAATGATACCACATATAATAGTGTAGTGATGAACACAAAAATCGATAAATGTGTTTTATAATAAATGTTACAGAAAGTGGCAGGATAGCGATAACGATGACGGCGACAATTTATAAAATAACTTATTACTATAATACATCTATCTGTTTTATTTGTCATGTTCCTTCATGATTACATTTCTTTATTTATTTCAAACACAATTGTAAAAGAAAAGTCTCAGATCGTTAATTAATCGTCAAAACTAAATTATCGGTTCAGAAATATTTAATTTCCTGATATACTTAGTAAAATTATAAACGAGAAGAATCGATCCGGAAATATTCCATTTCCTTATCGAATAATTTCGCAACGTCACTATTTAGTACTTGTCATAACGTTGCAACACTGAAATTGTCAAATCTGGAATCGAATTAAAATTCCGAGTATATGTAAAAATCAAAGTAATTTTCCCGCGGCGGTTGCGTTTGTTTGCGGCTCCCGCTACACCGACGGGCGGCTAGCACCCGCGCGCTCTGCGATCAGTTGGCGAGCGATCGCAATGGGACGGCCAATCTGAAACTCAACTGCAGCTGTAACCAAATGCCACTTAGCGCTTGTCTACATGTAGAATAGAAAACCAAATTATATGGAATTGAGGTAAATTTTCACACTTCTCAGTGTCATCCCCATACATTTAGTTTTCTACTTTCGCTGTAGACAAGCGCTAAAGTGGCGTTTGGCTAAAGGCACTGATTTTTTAACCGCCTGTCTTGCGATAATCATCCGCCAAGTTTGCGGGCTATAGCCGCAACCGCGACGACTGAGGGATAGCAGAAAACTGCGGGCTCGTGAATTTTGAATATTCCGCCTACATTCCGCCACCACGGCCGGGAGATCACATCGTGAGTCCTTAACCTTACTACTCTTAACCTTACTTCTCATGTAACATTTCAATGGACTAAAAGAAAATATAAAGCTAGGGATACATTATAAGTATCTACTGATGTTATGACCTTTTATCTACATCTTTTTCTTGACATATTTAGTGACACCGCTAGTGTATTCCTGGCTTTAATTAGTCATGTTATAATTCCAAATTTTTCTACTATGAAATATCACTCAGTCTGGTTTAGACTATGATTTCTGGGCAGAATTGTATCTGCAATGCGTAGTGTGACAGCCAATCGTCTAATCACTACGACATAGGTCAAAAATGTATTGAAATAACTTAAAGTTCTCTCGAAGCATTGTTTTCATCGTAGTTTGTCTGTTTTGGCCTCATTTTAAGACCAAATTCTAAGTAAATTTATTTTCAATTTAAGCCTATTAAGGCGTAAGATCAAATTATGACTTATGACCCATCTCGACGAGATTTGAGCCTTAAATTACTTAATTTACTTAAATTAAGGGCTACGGTTCCGTCCGAAATCATTCGGCGTACCACGAAAGCTTTCGCTTTAGTTACCATAATTAATTTAACATTACGTTAGCACGTTTAGAACATATTTTATTCCGTTATTTAATATGAAATTATTATTTATTCCTAAGTTAAGTCTCAGATGATACCGGACTGTATTTTAAAATATCCGACAAGTCGGTCCAATGAGAACGTACACAATGTAGGTCTCAAATCTCTTTAACAAATCTACTTTCATAACAATTTCCATATGAAATTTATATGAAAACTAAATTCATCCAGCATAAAATCGGACAATCGATCCCCGGCCTCCCAGACTGGGTACATTACCTCTATGTACGTATTTTAACACTAAAATTTTCCAACTGGCATCCACTTCTGGTACTAAAATGTCACTTGCACTAATAGTGTCCATATCACTTTATAATTTCACTAATAATAGTCCAATGTTAGTAAGTCCATTAATCTAAATCACCATAGGTGGCGTTGTTACCCATTTCTGGTGATACCAGAAATATATACTGTTATAGTGAATATTATCAGTGAACACATCTACTTTTAACATATTTTAAATTGGGCATTATCGACCCCATATAATCATAATCTATGGTTTAAATATTTCAAATTTCGTGCAATTCACAATTTTATTTGAGCAATTAAAATATTCACTATAACTTTTGGGGGTCTGAAGCCCTGTGGGGTCATATGCCCCGTTTTGGACAACGCACCTGTTTGAGTTATTATAGTATTAGAAATAGTTCCTACTAACTGTTATAATCTTTGTCACATCGGTCGTCGTGGTCCCAATATTTGGCGCTGCGCGGTACTTCAGTGACATGGCGTCTTGGGGCCGCCTTTACAGTAGTCCCATCTTCTTCTCCACTACTCCTTCTGTTCAATCTCCCTGCTCTACCATCTCTATTTCTCGATGTAGACCGATCTTTATACTTCTCTTTGTCCTCATCCTCACTGCCGTTATCTTTAGACTTCTGTCTAGTCCAATTTCTTTGTCTATTTCTGTTGGGGTCGTCCTTGACTTCGGATTTTTCTTTTCTCCAATTCTCTACTGGTCTCCGGTTACTGTTTTTCTGTATCTCATTGTTTACTCGCTCAGGCATTGGGGGTACAGGGGTCCTTTCGGCGACTCTTTCGACGGGCCTTTCTGGGGTCTGGGAGACATTCCTCTCTGGGTAACTCTGGAAGTTATCCCCCCCTTGTTGGTTGTAAGCAACGTTTGTATACTGGTTTTGTATATACGCGCCGTCCCCTTGTTGAAGATAGTTGACGAAATTTTCAGAATAGTTGTATCTATTTATGTTCGGCGGTGGGTAATCAGGTACGGGAAAAGGTTGTACAGGTGGTAACACAGTCTGTTGGAACTCTAATTCTTCCTTCTTTTCTTCCTCCGGCTGTCGCCAGGAGTTGAGGTCATATCGTTTGTTGAGGTTATTTTTAGCTGTCCACGTTTCAAATGTGTCCTGGCTCACTGATAGCGCCTGTTCTTGTCTTAGCAGTCCAGCACCAGCACCTAATATCGGTCTCAATTTAGGCTTCGTGTCCTCATTGTTGTTTAGGCTAATCTGCGATATATTTTGGCTCACTTTTTCCGCTATTTCGCTAGCATCAGGTCTGTATTCATCCTTCTCAGGGCTTTTTTTCCAGGAGCCATAGCTGACTTCGCTGAAGTTTTCCTCTGTGGTCAGTTCAAGGTGGGCGGCGTAGAATTGTTGTAATGTGTTCGGTAGTGGGAGGAATTTGTTGAGACAGAGATCTGCGGATAGTAAGAGCCATATTGTGCTGACTGGTGGGGGCGAGAGCAGACGGAGACGGATGGAGATGGAGAGTTCATCCAGTTCTTGAGCTAGTACGGAGAGTAGTTCACGACCGTTTTGCATTAGCTGTGAATAAAAGAATGTTATTATAATCCTAGTCAAAACCAAAGGAATTTATGAGCCTACGATATAACGCTAGTAAAGACTATGCAGTGAATCATCAGAGCAACTGTAAGATAAATGTGTATTTACAGTGGTGTGTAATTCAAACAAATTATATTTTACTAGCTTTTACCTGCGGCTTCGCTCGCGTCACAAAAGGATAAAAAGTAGCCTACGTGAGATATACCAATACACACAGCGCCATCTATACCAATATTTTTGTTTTCCCTCGGCAATATCAAATTTTTTCAGGATAAAAAGTACCCTATTATTTAATCCAGACTTCTAACTTTACGTCTGCAAAAATTCAAAGCAATCGGTTTAGTAGTTACGGCGTGAAAGCGGAACAAACAAACAAACTCACTTTCCGATTTATAATATTAGTAAGGATAATATTAAGTTTAATGAATTTATAAAAATACACTTTGGAAGTTTAAAATCAGTAGACGGACAATGATGATTCACTGCATTCTCAACGCGAATGTACTATAAAGTCAGCTTAGCTGTCACAATAAGCCAGAATTAACAGATTGCTTATAGGCAGGCGAGCTTTATCATAGGTTGCATTATCGATTACCACCAGGCGAGATGTTGGTCAAAATCACTAATTGATGAATGGACACAAAGCTCTATAGACTGTGGGAGAGCCATGCTTCGGCACGAATGGGCCGGCTCGACCGGAGTAATACCACGGCCTTCCCCAGTCTCCCCAATCCCCGAATCCCCCACAATCCTCAAACCCCTAATCCCCAAAAGGCCGATAACGCACTTGTAACGCCTCTGGTGTTTCGGGTGGCCATGGGCGACGCCGATTGCTTAACATCAGGTGATCCGTCTGTCCGTTTACTGGCTCTCATAAAAAAAAAACATAGACCTGAAGTTACAGTGGCAATCCTAGCGGCGCAGAAACCACTATTATTTCTTTGGTGGATTGACGAAATTAATTAGAGCAGTTATAAGTCTTAGTGACATTAACGAACAGTACTTTTTGACTATAACATAACGCATACACATAACGATACGCTTTTTATCGTCGAAGGGGTAGGCAGAGGTGCACATTACGGCACTTAATGCCACTATACAATGTAACAGCCACTTTTCACTATTTATGTTACGAGTCTAATGTAATAGGGGGTGAGCGTAATGCCATATACCGGACACATTTACAGACTCCGTGCTACTACTGATTTTTTTTTAACTCAATAATACTTTGCCCGACGCGGGAATCGAACCCGAGACCCTTTGCCCGGCAATCGCACTTGCGACCACTCAGCCAACGAGGCAGTCTAGACTGCCTTTAAGTGTTTGACTAGAAATCATTCAGAACCATACTTGTAGAACATTTGTTTCGAACTTACTTGGGTAGCGAGACTGCGATGTGCACGAACATCATGGGCGGCGAGTAAGGCACGCAAATATTGCAGGAGTGGCCCGGCCAGGATGTGAACCTTGTTACCATTACAGAGGCGAGCCTCCGCGAAGTAATCCCCCATCAGGTTCGCAGCGTTGATGAGGAACAGCGGGTTTGAGCGCTCCAGTACGTCCAATTCTGTTGATGGAGATGACAATTGTTAAAGATATTTGTTGCCCCGCACTAGGATTTTCTCCTGTGTCGTGGGTGCGTTTATAAACATACAAGTTCACATTCACATGACACACAGACCCGGAACAACAATCTGTGGATCACACAAAGAGTTGCTCTGTGCGGGAATCGAACCCGTGACACGTTGCGCGGCAGCCGGTTGCCCAGCCACCACACCAACCGTGCAGGCTGGTCCGGTGACTGGACAGGTGAAAAAATACTAAGTTTTGCAAAACGTACATATGACTAACATAATTATTAACGATTAATTTTATTTGTATTATTACCATGACTACATGGGGTCATTAGCCCCATTGTAATCTCACTTAATAATTTCTCGTCTGTGATTGAAAAACATATTTTCACACATAACATAACGCCTTTTATCCCCAAAGGGGTAGGCAGAGGTGCACATTACGGTCACTTTTCACTATTTATGTTATGAGTCCCATGTAAAAGGGGGTGAGCCTATTGCCATATACCGGGTACAATTCCAGACTCCATGCTACTACTGAGATTTTTTGAAAAAACCCAGTAATACTTTGCCCGACCCGGAAACCGAACCCCAGACCTCTTGCCGGGCAGTCGCTCTTGCGAATACTCAGCCAACGAGGCAGTCCTCGTTGGCCGAGTGGATACAAAGAACTCAATATATGACTTACTCGAGAAAGTCCCTTGCATTACTACATTGAGCAGGGCTCCGCGCAATAGTTGTTGTCTCTGTTGGCGCGTGAACGACGCCCCCACCGCGGCCAGCTTGCGCGCCGTCACCGGGCTCAGTAGGGCGGCCGCGCGGAACGTCGCGAACGCTTGTCTGAAAATGTCAAATAGTTTGGTTTAACATCTGAAGGAATGTACTTGTAGTAATAAATCTTGATATTAAAAATGTGGGAGAGCCATACTTCGGCACGAATGGGCCGGCTCGACCGGAGTGATACCACGGCCGAGCAGAAAACTAACGTGAAGCAACGCTTGCGTTGTGTTTCGTCGTGTGAGTGAGGTTACCGGAGGCCCAATTACCCTCCCCTTCCTCATTCTCCCTAATTCCTGAATCCCCAACGATCCTCAAACTCCTAATCCCCAAAAGGCCGGTAACGCACTTGTAACGCCTCTGGTGTTCCAGGTGTCCATGGTCGACGCCGATTGCTTACTATCAGGTGATCCGTCTGCTCGTTTAGCGGCTTATGCCATAAAAAAAAAAAATACAACCCGTTTTAGTGTCGTGTTATCCCCGAAGGGGTAGGCAGAGGTGCACATTATGCCACTGTACAATGTAACACCCACTTTTCACTATTTATGTTATGAGTCCCATGTAATAGGGGGCGTGCCTATTATCATATACTCACAATTCCAGACTCCGTGCTAATACTAAGAATTTTTTAAAAACCCCAATAATACTTTGCCAGACCAGGGAATTGAACCCGAGACCCCTTGCCCGACAGTTGCATTTGCGGACATTCGGCCAAAGAGATAGGCAGAATGAAACAAATTTTCGTTCACGCAAAACGCATGACTAACATCTGGCAAGTACTCAATTGATTGACTGAAGAGATGATCTACAAGAAATTGAGTAAATAAGATGACTTACTGCAACCGCGACTCATCAGGACACATGGATGAGACAGTGGTCTCAAAGTGTCTAAGTTTCCTATTGAACTGGATGCCGTCTTCTCCAGGAGAGAACTGTTCTAACTGTAAGCAAAGCAATAGTATATTATTAACAATCCGTTAAATAATATTTCAAATGAATCCTTATTTCTCTATTGATTATGCCATGCAAGAGTGGGAGAGCCATGCTTCGGCACGATCAGGTCGGTTCGACCGGAGTCACCACGGCCGATCAGAAAACCGTGAGAGTGAGGTTACCGAAGACCCAATTACCCTTCCTTGAGCTCCCGAATCCCCAACAATCCTCAAATTCATAATCCCTAAAATGCTGGTAACGCATTTGTAACACCTCTGGTGGTCCGGGTGTCCATAGGCGACGCCGATTGCTATACCATCAATAAAAAAGCATATATACGATCGAATTGAGAACCTCCTCCTTTTTTTGAAGTCGGTTAAAAAAGCTTCAAACGTCGAATCTACCAAAATCATGACGACATGTTGGTTTTAACGATAGGGAGTTAATCACAATATATTTATATTAATAATTTAAAATATCATATTTTCAAAAAAAAAATTATCGTATTATCATAAATTTACTATTTTTAAATGTCAATTTTAACATATGGCTAATAAGCAATATAATAATACAATTTTTAAGTATTCATTTTTAATAATAATAGATAAACAAAATATAAAATTACATACCAAAGTCAGTAAAGGGACATATTGTTCGTCGACCCGGAGCAAATCTTTCAGAGTAGAGTCCTCTTCACCCGGGGACTCGGGGTCCGGTAATTCTGGTGTCTCCGCTCTCTCAGGCTCGACGGACTCTCTCTCCGGTTCTCTTTTAACTTCCATTCTTGTTGGGTCTGTAAAAGATTAAGTTTTATTTGTATTGGGACTGTAATAAGCATGGATAAAAGGCATATGTTAGAGAGAGTATAGAATTTAGATACGTATTTAAATACAAAGATTTGTTTTAAAGCCGCGTCATTTTCTAGGAGGTAACACGGCTATCGATTCTGAGCCCGAATAAATAAAAAAATTGTAGGCAAATATTTTTATTTTTTCTGTAAATTACGGAAATCCGTAAGTGCGAACTACACGCCGCCGTCTTGTAACTAGTTTTATAACGCGGCTTGCTGTTGCTTATTCTGAACCACTATCGAACTTAAACGATTTATTATAGCCGAATTTTAACCTTTATGACTTCTGTGACATGCTCCCGAGAAATGACACGGTTTTAAAACTACACCTTGTATAACCAACAGGTATATTACAAAGAATAACAATAGGGTAGATGACTAATTTTTATTTTAATGTCCGTCTGGTAGATTATTTAAAAACATTACACACCTATTTTTTATTTTTTTGCAGAAACTAATATATATTGATTTGAAATGTCGCGTGACGTCACTTCTATGTACATTTTATACGTAGAAATGACGTTTAAGGCCCCACTCCTAAACTTTGATTTGTTTTATTTACGTATCGTTTTATCATACGACAAAATAAAAAATACGTGTTTAATATTTTGTCATTACCTAACTGACGGACTAATTAGATTTTTAATTTTCATACCCTGTCATATTCAGGATAATATGCTATACGTCTAATACTTCAAAATCTACGTATAATATATGTCCACGGCTAGCTTCAATAATATCTTTTTACATGTTTTGCTATTGCAAAGCACATATATTTTTTGAATAGATATTTTTCGACGGCTAATTATAAGTGACATCAGATCAATCTTTGGCCTGCCTCGTTGGTCAAATGGTCGCAAGTAAGTACGACTGACGGGCAAGGGGTGTCGGGTTCAATTCCCGAGTCGAGTAAAACATTACTGGAGTTTTAAAAATTCTCAGTAGTCTTTTATCTCCGAAGAGGTAGACAGAGGTGCACATTACGGCACTTAATCCCACTGTACAATGTAACACCCACTTTTCACTATTTATGATATGAGTCCCACGCTCCAACGAGCCAACGAGGCAGTCACCGAAAATTCGAAAATTCACACAATACAACGCATTTGGTAACTTCGCTAGTGTTGTAGGTCATCCTTCAGGGGTCCAAAGATATATTATTTTAGTGGAAAAAGTGTTCCTCACCAGTGGATCGAGGACTTAGTTCAGCCAGTGTTCTAGCGGCGGCGTCAGACTCGGTGTCTCGATCGTCACCGGGCCGTTGTTCCCGCAAATGATGCCGACCGGTGTACCCTCTCCCGCGGCCAACACTCGACATTATAACTAGCTGGAATTAAAGAATGAGGTATTAATGTGAGTTGGGGGACTAAAATGTGACGTAAGTACAGACAGCCAAAGTATTTGGTATACAGTTAAGATGTTTTTTAAACTATTTTTTTATTTTTTCAAGGCCCGAGTGAATAGGTTGCTTATGGGACGACGTGCTCCATCGTAGACCGCATCATCGTGCACCACCAGGCGAGATAGTGGTCAAACGTCAGCCAACAGAATATAAAAAAACTGTAACGGTGCAAATAAACTTTTTTTCTTTCTTTCTTCTTTCTTTCAGAAGTAATTCTTTCATAAACTACGTTAAAATAAAACCGACTTCAACCGCGCTTTTTTGAAGTCGATTAATTAATATACTAAAAATACCTTCTCATAAGGGCCGATTTTTCAATCTACAGTTAATTTTTAACTGTACAATAAAATTGACAGTTGACAGTTGTTAGTATAGAAGAATTGACAAACAACAATGTTATTCCTCAGTAAAAATTTATCTGAGCATTGAAAAATTGGTCCTAAGTGTAAAAAACACTATATTTGTATTGTAACTTTCGTTAGACATATGTACTAAATAAATTATTATGTTTTCGGCTCACTCACGTAATTATTTGACGAGTAACTCGAATAGTTTCACTCGCGACGCGGCGACTGTCGCGTAAAGCTGCTCATGAATATGAGCCTCTAGCATAGCTTGAAACTAGTCGAGTTCCTCGTCGAATCATTACGTGAGTAAGCCGAAAACATAATAATTTATATAACTGAAAACAGCATCAAACTAATCAGGTCTAACCAATCGCTAGACAATCTCGCACAAACATACATACATATATCATATCGTTAAAGATCAAACTGCAACCTCCTTTAATTTAAGTCAGTTAAAAATAAATATTGATTCAGTACAGAGACATTAACTATTATTATACTAATTTGTACGCTTTGTAACGAAGTCATATCTTTTGTAACTCAGTCGGCTCATTGACCAATCAATGATTACTGTCTCCGGAATCCCGAAGACGAAACGCGGACAGGCCCCCCGCTAGGTGGACCGTCGACATCGCCAGAGTCGCGGGAGCCAGTGGATGCAGGTGGCGAGTTATCGTTCGACGTGGAGGACTAGGACTTTGTCTAGCAGTGGACGTCTTTCGGCTGTTGATGATGATAACCGTCTCTGTGCTGAGTCAATATTTATTTTCTTTACCTGCATACTAAATAACTTCGCTGACTGTACATGTGAGTTGGGGGAGTTGGGATGTGACGTGATGTAATGTGAGTTGGGGGTCTTAGCGTGAGTTTGAGGTGTGATAAAGTGAAAGTGTGTTTGCGTGTGTTTTAGCTGTGTAGTTTTATTTTAAGTGTATGTTTAAGGAGTTTGTGCTAATATGATGTCAGATAGAAGAATAAAAAAGAAGATTCATAGCAGTAATATTATATATGTACAAATTTCTTTGTTTGGTTGTTTTGCCGTCAATCACGCTGAAAGTACTGAACGGATTTCGATGAAATTTGGTATACAGGCAGGGTATGGGCTGCCTTAGGTGATATGATACATTTTATCACGATAAATGCTCCCATGGGAAACCGGAATCATACTATACGCCGACGAAGGGCAACAGCTAGTATTATATTAAAGACTGTGTGACCTAAGCTCAAAACAAAATATGGAATACTAATGGGCATTTTCAACAGCTCCTAAACCATCTTTTAAATAAGAATTACTTAGTATAACGCATCACCTAAAATAACCCCTTACAAGTACCGTTAGGTGTCTTATAGTATTATATAAAGCGAAAGAGTTGGTTTTTTGTTTGTTTGTTTGAACGCGCTAATCCCCGTAACTACAAGTCTGATTTGAATAATTCTTTTTGTGTTGGATAGCGCATTTATCGAGTATGGCTATAGGCTATAAAACATCACGCTACGACCAATAGGAGCTGTGCAGAGCGTGTGAAACCGCGCGGAAGTAGCTAGCCACTTATAAAGTTGGTATAACTTAAAATAATGTTAAGTATCTTAGTTTTGAGGTTCCTTAAACCCTTAACGGCCGAGAAAACTGTTAAAGAAAGAAAGAAAGAAAGAAAGAAAGAAAGAAAGAAAGAAAAACTATTTATTTTGCTACGACACACAACAAGAATTTAGAAACACCGAAAAAAAGCCCATGGTGCGTCGCAGCGTAAAAGGCTGGAGCTCAGCTTAATACCGTGGACCGGGCACAGAGGCTCGAGCCCACGGCGCTGATTTTCAGCACCAGCCCGTTATAAAGGTTATTCCTCCGCTAGTGTCGGACATCATTGTCCGACACGGCATCCAATGTGTTAAAGTTTAGAAATGGTTGGCTAAAACGGTAATTATTACTATTTATTTATTTATTTAGTCTTTAATGTACACAATTTTATTAAAACTGCCCATAAGGCGAACTACTATTCTATCTCTATCGAACTTTGAAACCGTAAATATAACATTGTGTAAGACCTAATATAGCAACTAATGATTGTTCAAATCAATACATAGTATAAAACAAAGTCTGCTTTCGCTGTATGTCCGTATGTATGCTTAGATCTTTAAAACTACGCAACGGATTTTGATGCGGTTTTTTTTAATAGATAGAGTGATTCTTAAGGAAGGTTTGTATGTATAATACATGCATATTGCACCCGTGCGAAGCCGGGGCGGGTCGCTAGTTATAAATAAATATTGACTAATTCAAAAGCCTAAATTCTGCCAGAAGTCATTATTCTACGGGGATGAAGTCGCGGGCAACAGTTAGTTACACATATGACGGTGAAAGAGTCTAAAATACCGTTAGCTTACCGAAGATAATACAATATACATGTCCAAATCTTTTATTCAATGTGTGACGTCACAACATCGAGAACGTAGGTATGAATAACTGCAAACGTCTTGTCGAAATACATTATCATATTATTATCTTAAGTCGGTTGAGTGTCTCAATTTTCTCTTATTATTATTTTTTTGATAACCTTGATGGATTCTTTGTGATCGGTTTGTTTATTATCAACTGATCTAGAGTCTAGATCTAGCGTGGAATGTCTAGATTCTAGACAGTCCACGCTGTCTGTCTGTCGCGGAAACCTAACGGGCAACCGGGGCTCTGGCTCGACGTGCAGAAGAAGGAACGGCGTGGTTTTTAGTCAGTAAGAGTCTGACACTCCCTCCCGCCTCACCCAGGCGGGAGCAGTCATTCGATGATTTTACCCCTTTACAAAAAAAAAGACTATGGGTCTCTTCTACACTATTTTTATGGAATGACCCGGTAAACGAGCAGATCACCTGATGGTAAGCAATCGTCACCGCCCATGGACACATGAAACACCAGAGGTGTTACAAGTGCGTCCGGCCTTATAGGGATTAGGAATTTGAGGATTGTTGGGGATTCGGGGATTGGGGAGAGGTAATTTGCCTCCGGTAACCTCACTCACACGACGAAACACAATTATTGTTTATTTAGTTAATTTAAGAATGAGTCCAAATAAATTTCCGTTACGAGGATAACGGTAAATTTATGGTCTTTGTTATTATTTAAATAACGGTTCATAATAAGTAGATATTGTTCAGTCAACTGATGGTGGCAAGGTTTACTGTCCAGGCGACACACGTATAGATATTGTCATGAGCCAATGTTCACATGTAAACAGCAGCTCATGTAGTGTAGATGTCCAGTCAACTAATGGTAGCCAGTTTCGCTGTCCAAGGCGAGCCAGGCGATTATAACCCTTAATGACACAACAGATTACTTAACGACTAGCGATTAATTTTCGGTACCAATTCCATTGTCATTAAGATTCAAAATCACGTCGCAATCAAGGTGTGAAATCGATGACGCGTTGGGTCTTTCCGGCGCTAAGTTGTGAAGTTCGCCTTATAAGGAACGATTAGCTGTTTTATTTAAGTGTGACTAAATAATGTCATTCAAATCTGTGTCGGTCATGATAAGCAGTGCAAACAAAAGTAAATTTTAAGTGTGGGAGAGCCATGCTTCGGCACGAATGGGCCGGCTCGACCGGAGTGAGCAGAAAACCGACGTGAAGCAACGCTTGCGTTGTGTTTCGTCGTGTGAGTGAGGTTACCGGAGGCGCTTCCCCAATCTCCCCAATTCCTGATTCCCCAACGATCCTCAAACTCCTAATCCCCAAAAGGCCGGTAACTCACTTGTAACGCCTCTGGTGTTCCAGGTGTCCATGGGCGACGCAGAATGCTTACCATCAGGTGATCCGTCTGCTCGTTTATCGGCTAATGCCATAAAAAAAATTTTGACGCGTCACCACCGCTGCCCTTCCCTTGGATCTCGCCAGAGCCGACTTTAGAACTACACTTAGGAGCAAAGGAATGGAACCACCGGCGTCTTTGTTTTTGCATTTCCTAATTTCCTGATACAAGTATTTAATTATTTGGTTACGTATATCATATTAACTCGTCAAGTACCGTCATTATAGACACAATTATAGAACAATAGGTTGCGGTCACCGGTGACCGCTTGGTGTTTGACAGTTTAAAGACAATAAGGATGATGATGACAATGTATGAAAATTAAAAATCTATTTAGTCCGTTAGATAGGTAACGAAAAAATATTAGACACGTATTTTTTTATTCTGTCGTATAAGAAAACAATACTTAAATAAAATGAATCAAAGCTTACGAGTGGGAGGTAGTCACTTCACGTCACTTTTGAGTATAAAACGTACACAAAAGTGACTTCACGCGATATTTCAAATAAATATATCGTCGAAAGTATCTGTGTCCGTAAGAAAATAAAAAATACGTGTCTAATGATTTTAAATCTACCATTTCATTTTTATTTTTTTAAACTGTCAAATACCAAGCGGTCACCGGTGACCGCAACCTATTGTTCTATAATTGTGTCTATAATGACGGTACTCGACGAGTTAAGGGGGGATATCATCGAATTACTGCTTCCGGGTGAGGCGGGAGGGAGTGTCACTTTTACTGACTAAAACCCACGCCGTTCGTACTCCTGCGCTTCGAGCTGGAGCCTCGGTAACCCATTAAGTTCTCCGCGGCTTCGTAAATAGGTTTACCATACGGGCATTACAATAAACAAAAATAGTCATCTACCCTATTTAGCTACTTTTAAAATGAGAACATTTTGTTTTTTTAAGTTATAGAGGGTTCGATAACATTATAACATGATCTTTGTCTTATCTTGTTTACTCAATTTTAAATTGTACTTAAATATCATGCCATCTCTGTCGTTATACAAAGAGTTGTAGTGACAGAACTATATTTAACCTGTTGAAATTTCATCCCTTAAATTTGTTCATACAAAACTAGTCTCTCAACATCGGGAATAAGGTCTATAATGTAGTTAGAGAGTGGTCACCGGTGACGCTTGGGGATAAATGGGTTGAGAGCGACTTAAAATTAAGTGTGAGAGTTTCAGCGATAATGTCTGAAGAATGGCGGTAAAATAGAACTTGATTTAAAATTTATGTAATTCATAATTTCGACACTATTAACCCGGCGTCTGTATGGTTGGGTCAATATGACCCGCGCAATTTTCAATTGTTTGTATCTTTTAAGAATCGAACGCAACGTTGCCGTACTTCTCAGTAGCTGGAGTTAAGACATCACCTTTCTTGTTTTATGCCACAGTTTAGTTGTCGTGCGACTGCACCGGGAGTTACACGTGCGCAAACGTCAAAAAGGTAAATATGACCCAACTATACAGTCAATGTAACAATTATGCGCCATTTTAGTAGTTAGTGTAAAAAGATTATAATTTCCGTATTCTGTTATTTGTAGGTTATAATTTAAAATGGATCGTGATGAATGTGAGCGGCAGCGTATTTTAGCAATTTTAGAGCAATCTGATTCAGAGAAAAGTGGAATTTCGTCAGAAAGCGAGGAAGATCAGGATCGTGTCAGTGTTCAAAGTCGATACGATTGTATCTCATATCCCTAAAAAAAACAAAGTGGTATTACTTATGTCCAGTCTTCACCATGATGCAATAATTGATGAGTCGACAGCAGAAAAGCGTAAACCTGAAATTAACACCTTTTACAATATGACTAAAGGCGGGGTTGATGTTGCTGACGAACTTTGTTCCACATATCTACAACGTTAGCCGTAACACGAAGAAATGGCCTAAAACAATATTTTATGCTGTGCTGAATATGTCTGCAATAAATGCATATATAATACATAATAAAAATAATAATCAAATTGTAAAACGGCGCCAATTCCTCAAAAAGTTAGGCCTTGCTCTCGTAAATAACCACTTGAATACTCGCCAAGACGTCGTGCAGTTGCCGAGAGAAACGCGAAAGAGAATCAGAGATTTTCTTGGAGAACCATCTGAGGAGCCACCTGCAAAAGTGCAAGGTGTACGGAAAAGGTGTCAAGTTTGCCCAGCCAAAAAAGGTCGCAAAACGACGCATACATGCACAAACTGTCACAAGTTTATTTGTCCCGAACATATTGTTCCGTACTGCAAAGAGTGCTGTGATATGTTGCAAGAATGAGACTAACTTAGGACTGTTTTATTTTTATTTTGATTTAAGTTTGAAAGATCTCGTTTTCAACTACACCAAAACGATAATTGTAAGATTATAAGTGAACATTTATGTTATTTTATAGTAACGAGACTGAGGATGTCTATTTTTGTTGATTATTTTTGTATGTTTTTTCATAACTCAAACAAAGATGCTACGATTAGTTAAATTGCCTTTTATTTCTGCTGCATAACCTTAAAATTAGTGTTCTAACTAAAATATACTCATATATTTATTATATATTTAAAGTTCAACAAAATAAAGGCTTCTACATTTCAGGGTAATTTTGACCCACTTGACAGTCGGTGTAACAATTTTCTACCATACAGACGCCGGGTTAATATGTATCAGAGACATTGTAGAACATGCTTTTTGAAAAGAGTAACGAATGGAGTTTCTTGCTCGTTCTTCTCCATTCGAATCTACGTTTTGGAATGAGCACCTAGTTTCACCTAGCTTCACTGACGGACTGACTGACAGACTATTATTTATTTTGTATTCGTTGAAGTTTCAAAAGTACCAAATTATGGTTTAATGCTTTGACTTTGACACTATCTAGTATGGATTTTAATAAAAATCTACCAACAGTACAATCACATGAAACAACGCTAATCAATGGTTTAAATACTGTACAAAATACGTTTTTGAAGTCATTATTACATAAGAATTATTAATATCTACTGAACCCAACCACTTTATCAATAGAAGACTAGCCTTTAGATACTAATATAATGGAAATTATTTCGGCTTCATAAATTTTTGGGCCTTTTTGGAAAGTACGAAATAAAATGGTATGTATCGTTAGAACTAGCCATTTAAAGCTGTCTTAGATACTTATATACTCTTATATAAAGCGGAAGAGTTTGTTTTTTTGTTTGTTTGTTTGAACGCGCTTATCTCCGTAACTACAAGACCTATAGTCATCCTCAATAAATGCACTATCCAACACAAAAATAATTATTAAAATTAGACTTTTAGTTACGGAGATTAGCGCGTTCAAACAAACAAAAAAACAAACTCTACCGCTTTATATAATAGAATAAGGTTATAAGTAATTCCAGTTAGACTGTAATAAATAAATAAAAATAAATGAATAATAAATAAGATGTATAATCTTATCCTCTTATAATACCATTTTAACTTTGACTTTGACTTTTTTTTTCGTTCTCTGGCACTTTCATAAAAGACCCAAAGAGAGATCTCCTTTCACCATACCTACATATACAATAATATAATACCCTACAATAAATAATCATTATCTGAAATGATACAAAATGATAATGATGACAAATATACAGAAACTGTGATAGAATAGAAAAAGAACATAAAATAAAAAATGATACCTTCTTCAAATCCATAGTTATCTGGGGACGAAGGAGAAACAGAATCAATTAACTGCAAAATATCTTGTGTTTGAAATTAAAAAATATTGACTTGGCCTGTATTGTTCTGATGGACAAAGGTCACTTCTCACACTGAAAAGTTACAAGCATTAATTTTGTTTCGGTATAAACAAACACCAGCCTACAACTATACTGCTAGACAAAGCCCTCTTCTCCAACTAAGAATGTATAATATTTATTGTTATATTTATAGCAGGACGATTAATTAGTTGATATATCCCGCTGGTAATGCTAAACAACAGCCTCTTCTCCAACAGAGAAGGTACAAACATTGGTTTACCGCAAACTGATGAGGTTGGTATTTCACTCTTACTATAACATGTGAACCGCTGAGTATGTCATCGGTGACATATGTTAGCGAAGTATTTGTCTATAACAGTTTCTTTCGGCAGTCAAAGGCATAATTGGGTTTCCTTCACCATATACAGTTAAAAGGACTATAATTACAATTGGAATGAAGTGCGAAAACATCCAATTACAGTGCATTCATATGAAAGTAGTCTCTAAACATCAGAAATAAGGTTTATAATATAGTAAGTGAAGTGCAGTCACCGGTGACCGCTTGGATATACGTGTTAAGATGTGTGTCGATTTATTTTGTGCTATATTGTTTGGGTGTCAAAAATAATGTATTGTAAACCATTGATGGAAAATTATAACTAGTGCTCAGTGCTTTAGAAGTTCAATGACCTATGTTTATAGTTAACGAGACTGAACTAATGGGCAAAGTTGTTATTCATAAGAAAATTTCTTACTATACTTTAGTAACCTATTAATATTATTTAAATGAGAGTTGATGACGAAATCCTACGTGTGGCTGGAGTACGCTGGCTAGATACAGCAAAAGATCGAGAAAGATGGCAGTCTCTGGAGGAGGCCTTCACCTCAGGGGTTCCCTAAAATGAAACATGATATAAAATGATATGCTTTCTATTTTTATTTTTTGGAAATGTATATTTCTTTTTAATTGGGAAATACAAGGCTTTTTTATTTTTTATTTATTATTTATAAATGAGAGTTGGTGAGGATGTATATGATATATGTATGTATCTTTGTTATTCTTATATGAAAACTACTAAACGGAATTAGATTAAACTTGGCACAGAAGTAGATTATAGTCCGAAATAAAAATGGTTACTTATTGTCTGGGTAATATGGGCAAAGCCATTCAGAGAAGCTAGTATAATATTGATGATTGATAAAGAATCTGTGTTTGTGATGTTGTCCAGTTGTTGATAAGTAAATACAATAAGTTTTGTTCTCTATGACATTATAGTAGCATTTATATTAAGATTAGTATGTAGGTAGTATCTTAAAAGATTAAATTATTATAATGAATGCTCACTAAAATAATAAGTAGGTACTTAATGGTCTAATAAGAATTGTCTTGAAATAAAATAGCTATCAAATAACATTAAGAATAAGTACCACAAGATATTAGGTAGCTATATGTTTCTGTATTCCATTAACTTCTAAATAACTAAAAATAACAAATAATGTAATGAAATTGTAGGTATTTGTGTATTGATGTGCTTCGCTAAATAAATATTGCAACGAGGAAAAAAACAAAATATAAAGTTCGAGGCTGTCTGACGAAAATCATCGTACGTCTTTAGAAAAAAAAAAACACAAAATGCACATGTCAAAAAGCGTGTGTGATATTTTATTACCGTGATCACTAGCCTTGGCTGAATATCTCGAAAATCTCGAAAATAGTTATTTACACGACATTTATCACTTAACTCAATACAATATGACGCTTGTAAAGATAAATATACGCGCAACAACTCCTTCCCACTACGCTAAATACATAAACACTACGCTAAATACATAAAATAATAAAATGAATGACATGTAAACATCATGACAACTAAAAGTGTCACACCATGCATGTTTTCAAAAATATACAGGAAAACCATCAATGAAAACTTAAAGGACACGTTAAAAAGGTTTTGTTTACAACGCTTTCAAATTTCATTTAAATATTTATAGGCTATGTATCTTTTAAAAATATCTTTGTTCGCCGGCGAATGCTACGATGACGATAATCGAATGTATTTCCTTAAGCGAACGAGGCATAAAAATGGACGATCAATCAGCGAAATATGTAAAACAACAGTTTAATTATAAAAATTACAAATATTTACTCACCAAGTTAAATAATAGAAAGTATTTTTGAGTTATTTATTTCCTAGTTGTTTGGTCGCGCAGTAGTTGACATACGTTTCACTTCCATATTGGCGAGTGTAGTGATGTGCGTTTGAGTTTTCGAAATACGATTTTACGTCGTGAAAACCGGAATTACCGATTTATGATAAGGAGTATAATTCAATAAAATTTATAATAGTAAATCGACAAATTAAAGCAAGTTTGAGAATAGTTTAGCCCTTGGTTTAATATTGATTTTAGATTTTGGTAAATATTATGTGGTTTAGGATCCACGGTTCATGCATTTCTGAACGAAATGTAGGAAGTATCGTCATGGAATCATGGATATCGTTTATCGTTAAAGTTCACAAAAATCAAACAATATATATTTCTGTATATTATAATTTTGAAACAAATTTTTTATAAATTATTAATCGTAACTGATAGAATATTCGGTTTATCGTTTAAATGCTATTGAAATCGATGGAATCCCTGGCTGAATGCCGATTGCCGATCGAAAAAATGACATTTCAGTTTCGGGGGTGAAGCATGGAAGAGGGGTGTGCGTATTTGCTCGGGCGGATAACTGAAGAAATTCTATTTTCCATCTGTTCTATTTAATTTTTTAGTTTTTCATGACTTTAATAATATCCCAATAACGTTATACTACCAAATATTTTTATTTTAATACCGCGAAGTGTTCCTTCAATCTTAAAATTTATTTTAATCACCACTGCGGTTGTTTGTACTGCTGTTTTTATTATTGATATTTTTATTTCATCGCTACTATGTGCAAATATTTTCTAAAATCTTACTGAAAACGCAAGCCTAATACGTAAAGAGGTTTTTACACTGAAAAACCGTAAATTGAATTGGAAAAATTAAGAAAAAAAATTGTATTAAAAAATATAAATTCAAACATGTCTGACGGTCATGGGGAGCCGAATCAGCTGAATTCCAGTAGAAAAGAAAGTGTCGTAGCAGCTAATGTGCCTAGTGATAGTCCTGTGACGGACCCTGGGCAGGTGCGTGGCGGGAACACTGAGGCTGGTGCAGCAGCAAGCAAATACGAGGGCCAGCGCGGGAAATCGGGTGCTTTGAAAAAATCTGCCCGATACAGGAGCAGATCTCTTTCCGCGTCTTCTGCAGATTCCTACAGTTCTACATCATATACTGGTGAGTAAATTTTAAAAATTTTTTATTTTTAACAAAATGACCATCCTAAATTACATTAATTGGATTAGAATTACTGTTTTATTAATTAGAGTGCAATGTCATGGTAATGTTTGTAAACAATGGTCAGTATTTTTTTTTGTTGGATAATGGCCAAGGAATTTTTATTCAGCCTGTCAAAAGAAAAACATTCATAATTTTTTTTACTTCAAATAAGTAATTGTTTATTTACTTATAGGTATAAAATTTAAAACCCAAAAACCATTACAATAGTCTTTATCTATGTTTATAAATTAGTAATATTATAGTAATTTGAAAAACAGATTTAGTCTTAAAGGTTGCCACATTTATTTATCTATATGGTGTGTGAAATGTTCTATTGTTTCATATTTTTCTATTATATAGATGTTACAGTGTAAATCATAGATCCATTTTTATGAGTTACAGTGTAAATGCAAATCGAATTATAATCAAACTGAATTCACAAGTCACCAGATCAACAATTTCAAAATTCTTAAAAAAGAGGTCTTATCTGCGATAGGGTTAATAAAGGTAGTTCGGGATAGTAGTCAGAAAATAAATAGACATACCAATACACATACCTGGCTACCTCCAGTAGAATAAACCTACCAATGGCGGTCTGAGGCAAATTTATCAATGCAGAGACCTAACAAATTTAAATAAGGAGAATCCAGATGAAAACTCTTGAACGGAGGCCCCTTCCAGCTAGGGTTCTGTAGCATTTTGCTGATTTACCACCCTGTCGTTGTCCTCCTTCACAGTTTTTAGTACCCTTTTTCTTGTACCAGTCACTTAGTAGTTAGTTGCCTAGCATAGGCTGTCCAGAAAACGTAATGCATAAAAGGGCGCTTACAAAACAGTACATAACATTACTCCTTTTATCCCCGAAGTGGTATGCAAAGGTCCACATTATGACCGCCGTAACCACTTAATGCCACTGTACAATGTAACACCTACTTTTCACTATTTATTTTATGACTCCCATGTAACAGAAGGTTAGCCTATTATCATATACCGGGCACAATTCCAGACTCCGTGTTACTGAGATTTTTTTTAAATTAATGAATACTTTGCCCGACCCGGGAATCGAACCCGAGATCCCTTGCCCGGCAGCTGCACTTACGACCACTCTGCCAACGAAGCAGTCTTGTACAACAGTTAGATTAAAATGGTACTACATACCTACATATAGCTATTTTACATCTGTTAATCTGCAAAACAAATCGTTTACCAGAATTGGTTCATTGCCTGCAATATACACCGAAAAAAATAAAATTTGGAAACATTTATTCAGCACCAGATGAATATATTGCGCGCGAGAGGCATTATGATAATCAAATACATTATTTGTAGTGGGTAAACAAGGGTGTTGAATAAATAGGGGTTTAGGGTGATTGAACTAAATTACCAAAATGGTGGACACATCATTTCGTTTTGGGAGAGCCATGCTTCGGCTCGAATGGGTTGGCTCGACTAGAGTGATACCACAGCCTCACAGAAAACCGACGTGAAACAACGCTTGCGTTGTGTTTCGTCGTGTGAGTGAGGTAACCGGACGCCCAATTACCCTCGACTCCCCCCTTCCCCTCACTCTCAACTCAAATACCATTTAGTTCATTAAATTTCCACGCAATACGGATGCAATGGGCATTGTGTTGAAACTCAAGAGTACTACGAAATTTCACAATGTCAATATCGATCGATCGGAATTGGATTCAAGAGTAAACCCCCAGCTCTGTAGCCTCCACTGATCCACGATGCTTCTCTTGTTAAGACGCATCATTTGTATACCCTATAACACCTAGCGCTTGACTGCCCTCGCCGTTTAAATCTATTATAGTAAGAGCAACCTGTCCAAAAATGGGCCAGATATAGTTAGGCGAGTCTGTGTGACAAGCTGCATAAATGCGATAGATGCTATAAAAGTAGTTAAATATAATTATGGAAGGATCATAGTAGGTGGCGTTCTTTAGTTTTCTGTCTACCATGGGATGAAGGCAACAGATTATGAATGTGTGTTGTGTATTAGAAAACCTTCATCATCAACGAAGAAGGTTTGAGCATTAATCACTACGCACTAGTTAGAGATTGTAAGTTCAGGTTTCCTCACAATGTTTTCCTTAACCTTAAATAGTCTTAGAAAGTACATGTAGGTAACTCGAAAAAGTCACATTGGTACTTGCCGTTCATAAGTTTTGAACCCTTATGCATGAGAAGCGGGCGTCGTAACCAGGCCACAATGTCGACAGAACATCTTACTAACAACTAGTATCTAACTAGGAGTCTTTTCGAGCGTTCAACGTAGGTAAGGCCCTTATATCCAACACATGTAACAGCGTATTACCACGCAATGAAATGCGTGTTTACCATAACGCTATGTTATCTGTGGCGGCCACAGAATGAAAATATCCTTGACCTTTACCCCACAAATCGATATAACTAAGTATGTACAATGCAAAACTTAACTCCAACGTTTCTTGAACATCTTTATGATTGGTCTGTATTAATGCCAACAAGATGTTCCAATCGATCAGATTGTTTTGATAGGTTTTAACCCTTAATTTGGCAAGACAAAAAATTGTTAATACTCATGTTTTTTTTCACATTTTCTGCTTTACTAGAAGTTGTAGGGACAAGAAAAAATAATTTAAAAAATCTGGAATCACCTCATTTCCTGAAAATGCATGTCCAGTATACTGGACCTTGCCAGGTTTGCCATAAAGTTGTCAATCATATTGATGTGCTGTATATTACACATTGCCGAATTATTACTTTCTTGTACTTATTTCTGTTTTGAGCAAGTACTAAAATAAAATATAATAAAACGCAAAAACAATGATGTTTTGTATTGTATTAGAGTTTATTTTTTTATTTTTTATTTTTTATCAATATAATGAGGAACAATTTACTAAAATTAAGTGAGATCAACAATATAATCAGTCTGAATGAAAAGATACGTAACAATTATTATTCTAAATTTCAAATAAAATTAAACAACTATAGTATTATATAATCAGTCAACATAGTTAGAAACTTTCACTTACTGTGATAATCATAAAAACAATTTCTCTTACGTACTAAACACAGTCTTTGGTTACATTTTAGACAATACACATCAGTCTTATTTTTGATGCATAGTTTGCAGCGACCGTATGACTCTCCAAAACTAGGGAAATGGCCAATACTATCATAGCGGACACTGTCGTCTGTTCGACAGTTGTTGCTTACAGATATACGACATCTACTTTTATTCTGTAACTCTCTTGCTAATTGGCACCGAAAAGATTTCAAAGGCATGTGCTTCACTGCCCGATTACTACAATCTCTGCGATAAACTAACCAGGCGTTGTTGACACAAATGTCGAGCATTTGGGCAAAGATTGCAGTATACCAACGACGGCTCTTATAAGTAGTCCGATACAACGCAACCAGCATATCTGCGAGATCGACGCCTCCCATGTTACTATTGTAATGCTTTATGAGTTCCGGACAGTCCACATCAACTCGTGCTTTCATTTCCTTGCTGTATCTCTTTATTTTACCTACAGGGTAAGCATCAGCGTAAGTACTGATGAGAGTGACCACCTTATTATCGTACCATTTAACTATAGCTACCTTATTGTCATTATCAACGACTTGACAATAGGAACCTCTGCCTTTCTTCTTTAAAGATTTATCACTCATCAGTAGTTTTTCACAACCTTTTAGCCGGTTTTGGCGTATAGTGCCTAAACTAAATATACCACATTCGTCTCTAAGGTGTATTGCCAAATCTATAGTCGAAAAGTAATTATCAAAATATACGACACAGGCTCTCATCTGTATTGTCTTGCATAAAGCAATGACAACTTTAGCTCCTAAAGTTAAGGTTTCTTCGGCTTGTGAAAACTGGATATATCTGAATGTGTCTTCACCTCCATAAAGCAAGAAGTCATATACAATTCCCGACATGCCTGCTCGGACAAAGTTTTTGAAACCCCATTTATTGGGTTTCATGGGATTGTACTGTCTCCTGTTACCAGCCTTTTTGCCTTTATACGGTATGGTCATCTCGTCAATACTATATGTCATTTCCTCTTCGGTAGCCAAGCAGTTTCTTCTCACTTTCTCTACAAAAGGTCTAACTTTGAAGTAACGATCTGAATTTGGACAGGAGTTATCAACAAAATGGATGTATCTTCGTATGGTTTCAAACTTTTTTAATGACATAATTTCAGCAATAGCTGGGTACCGTAATTCTCTCGACCAATAATCTACATATGATGGCAAATTTACCACACCCATAAGTAATAATATGGAAATAAAATCTTTCATTTCGTCCTCAGAGATATTGATGGATCGGCCAGTAACTTGAACTGCATAAAGGTTGGTATTATGTACTATGTCTTGTAAAATATCCAAAGAAAAGTATCTCCAAAAATAATCTATAGGCGTGAAATCGGGATGCAAGTTATTCTTAAATTCACAATTAGTTATTTCGGCTTTGTGCAGGAATTTGCCTTTTTTCCATTTGTGGTCTGTGGGTTTACGTTTTTTGGGCCTGATATTATGGACACGAGAGTGGGTGTTGACATAGCGCCTTCTTTTAGACCTGGTATTCACGGCATTAGGTATCGGTGATATATCTTCAACAGACGGTATAGAGTGAATGGACGACAATGTTGGAATATTATCAAAATTTACCTGACTGGTCGACGGCAACACTTGGTTGATTATTGGTGTTAGAGGCACTGCTAGTTCTTGATCTTCTAGCTCGCTATTGGGTATCTCATCTTCAGAAGCATTATTCCTATCTTCATCGTCTTCGGAAATATCTAAATTTTCTAATGACGACGGTATAGATGGGGCTTCAGAGGACAAATCGTCACTGTCTTGGCAGCATGTGCTTATAACAACCTCTTCATCCGAACTGGTTTGATTTTCTACGTCTGATAAGGCGTTAATTGGCGGCACTAGTGCCAATAACTTTGATGCCCGTGATG